AATGATTTAAAGAAATTAGCCTTCAGAGGACTGAATTTTTAATGATTTTTTTTTACTTGGAAAATGTGCCTTTTAAATAAAAAAAGTGCTTGCTTATTATAAAACCTTGGTTCAAAGGTAAATACTATGTTCTGACAAGTGTAAAGTAAGTACAAACACATGTGAAAATAACTGTTAACAGCAAATGCTTAAGAAGTGTTCTTGTTTTCTAAAATAAACATTTCCTGTTCCTAAAAAGTTTCTGGATCAGAAAATAGAAAAATACAACTCTAGTTTAATGGAGATATGCAATTTGACTATAGACCAATAACTGTCATTAAACAACTTCAAAAATCCTTCTAGATTAATAATGTGTAGAGGAGTCTTAGAGGATTACTCAGTAAATTAAATTCAAGGTAACAATATTAATCTAAGTTTCTTTAATATGCTTGATCTGGGTAAACATTTTCACAAATTAATTTTGTGAATTTTGAGTTTAAAATATGTCCTGCTCTAATTTCACCATGTGTAAAATAAAAAGGCAATCATGGTATTTTGATCCATATAAAACCATGCCTCCATTTATAAAAACAGACTTTTCTTGGACAGTTTAACAGTTACAGAAAAATTGAACAGGAATTACAGAGTTCCCATATGTCCCCTCATGCCCTCTTCCCTCCAGTTTCCACTATTAGTAACATCTTGTATTAGTGTGGTACATTTGTTAAAATTGGTGAGTCAATATTGATACATTATTAAGTAAAGTCCATAGTTTACACTAGGGTTCACTCTTTGTGCTGTATATTTTACTGGTTTTGACAAAGGTATGACATGTATCCACCATTACAACATCATTCAAAATAATTTCACTGCCTTAAAAATCCTTTGTGCTCCACCCATTCATCCAGCCCTTGCCATGGACCACTGGTAACCACTACCTTTTTACTGTCTCCATGGTTTTGCCTTTTCCAGATTACCATATAGTTGGACTCATACGATATGTAATCCTTTCAGATTGGCTTTTCCTTAGCAATATGCATTTAAGGTTCCTCCATTATCCGGAGACGTTTTTAGTTGTCACAACTTGGGTAGAGGGATCAGGGGTCAATGCTACTGGCATCTAGTGCGTGGAGACTGAGGTAGCTCATGAACATCCTACAATGCCCAGGACAGCCCCTTACAATAAAGCCCCAAATGCCATTCAGCCCCAAATGCCAACCATGCTCGAGGTTGAGTAACCTTAAGAGTGACATGTGGCATGAGAAATGGAGCAGTTCTGGCTTATGTTGTGATATTCTAGATTCATATATTTCCCTGAGCAGAGAAGCTGAAATGCTGAAAATTTTTCATTTGATGGCCTTGATGCTTCCTTTCCTGACCACTGTAAAGAACGAATGGCTCCTTTGCTTTGGCAAGAAATACTGAAGGTGGTGGGTTTTTTCCTGTTTGTTTTGAAATGAAGTCTTGCTATATTGCTCAAGCCAGTCTTGAATTCCTGAACTTCTGGGCTCAAGTGATCCTCCTGCCTCAGCCTCCAGAGTAGCTGGGACTATGGGCATGTATTACTGCACCCAGCCTTCAACGTGATTTTTTTTTTTTTTAAATTTCATTCAGGTGACAAACTCATGCTGAGGTTCCCAATTTTTGTCTCAGAGCTAGGATATTATAAATTTGTCAAAAAAAAAAAAGTGAAGAAATATTAGCTTTCTATGAAACACTCTAAATACTAACAAAGAGCTTGGTGAATTCTCCCATTTACCTGTGTCCCATCTGCGCTTCAGTTGCATATATATATATATATCTATATATATATGAGAGAGAGAGAGAGAGAGAGAGAGTGTCTTATTCTGTCACCCAGGCTCCAGCGATCCTCCCTCCTTGGCTTCTAAAACACTGGGATTATAGGGATGAGCCACTGCCCCCAGCTCAGTTGCTTATTTTGCATTATTTCAAGGCAGTGGAGGCAAAACACTCAACATTAATTTCTCACAGATCAACATCACATCTTGGAGTGAAACACACACATATTGAAGGTATTTTAATGTATGTTTTCTTGAACTTCTTCTGACTAACAGGGGAAATATTTTCATTAATTTTTACCAAAGATTTCTGGATCACGTAAATGTATTTTTCTACTTGGGTAACAGTTTACAGTATGTTGTTATTTCTCTGTTCATTTATTTATTTTTATCATATACCTCCTAGAGTAAGATTTAATTTGATGGAAATATTTTGTGGATTCTGCTGTAATTAATGCACATAATAGCAGTCAGTAATAGAATTTCTGTAAACCTATATTTATTAATTATCCAATATCTTCTCTTCATTTTGCTGTTGATTTCCATTAAGTAGATTAAATTATGTTCTTAAAAACAGAAATTCATTTGTGTATGGATACAAAACAAAATGTTCCCAAATGCAATCTTGGATGTGATGTTCTAAACTTTAGAAATCCAGTTTCATTTATTTTGGATTAATTTCTCCTGCTTGGAGGTTGACACACTGTTCTACATCTATCAAATGCATGATTATAAAATTAACCATTTTGTACAATAATGAAATTAAACACATACACATGTACTGTAAACTATACAGCACTATCTCTGTCATAGTTTTAAAAGGCACTTCCAGATGACATAAAAAATGAAGAGGTATTTATTAAGAATCTATTGATTTTTTATCTCCAATTTTGTGTGTGTGGGGTTGTTTTTCTTTCACCCTAGTTTTATCCAATTTGAGATTCATGAACAAGGTATCTCTAAGTGAAAGAGCAGCAGGTATAATTATTAGTTATTTTATAAGACTTTGTGAAGTCTTTGGTATGGTTCTAAAAACTAAAAGGGTATGTATAAAAATAGTTTTGCAAGTCAAGTGGTTTCTAATTCTTTGCTTTCAACAAAATTGAAGAAGAACCTTATACCTGAGTTGTCAGCTGACAGATTATTAAAAATATTATTTAATAATAGCCCATTACGTGAGTCTTGCATATGACTAAGAAGAAATTTTTAAAATGGAGTCAAGTTGCCTCAACAAGTCTTTATTTTCTCATTCATTTATATGATCAAGATTCCTTAGTTCTTTCATGTTAAATTTTTTTAAATTGAAATAATATACAGCCCAGATTCATTAACAATAAGTAACATTTGTCAACATGAAATTGGGAAAATAAAGTCCCTATCTATTTCATTAAGAGATGCATTTCCAGTTAAATTTTACCTTTACAAACTTATACTTTTATTTACCAAAATGTGTATTACAGATTGAGCATCCCTCATCAGAAAACCTGAAATGCTCCAAAATCTGAAACTTTTTGAGCACCAATATGATGCCACACGTAAGTACTGTACTTAACACGACTTTGTTTCACATACAAAATTATTTTAATATTGTATAAAATTACCTTCAGGCTATGTGCATAATGTATATAAGAAACATAAGTGAATTTCATGTTTAGACTTGGGTCCCGGCCCCAAGGTATCTCATTATATACATATAAATATTTTAAAATCCAATATAATCTGAAATCCAAAACACTTTTGGTCCCAAGCATTTCAAATAAAGCATATCCAATCTGTATTGACATTATTTTGATCTCTAACAGTTGGTAATCCTATCTTAATCCATACACCTTTTTTTTTGAGACAGCATCTCACTCTGTCATCCAGGCTAGAGTGCATGCAGTGGCATGATCATGGCTCACTGCAGCCTCAACCTCCTGGGCTCAAGTGATCCTCCTACCTCAGCCTCCCAAGTAGCTGACACTACAGGCAGGAGCCACCATGTCCAGCATATATATATATATATTTTTTTGTAGAGATGAGGTTTCCCTATGTTGCCTAGGCTGGTCTTGAACTCCTGGGCTCAAGTAATCCTCCTGCTTCCGCCTCACAAAGTGCTGGGATTACAGGTGTGGGCCACTGCACCCAGCCCATATAACTTTTTAAACACTTGGAACAAGAAATTAAAAATGCAGTGTAAGAACATATTTTGTTGCAAAGAAGCATAATAGGTGGCTCAATAAAAGATTTCCAAGAACAACAAAAAAAATTATATTAGGATGCAACCAGGGTTGAGAACTCAAAAAAAAAAAAGGAAAAAAAAAAGAAAAATTCTGCAGGGAGGGGGAGAATAAAAATATGGATTCAAAGGGGGAAAAAAAAGAGCAATGTAAAATTTCCAACCATTAAGAAAGAGGTTGTTTATATATTTTTAAAATTAATGATAATGGGTGTCAAAACATTATGATATTTAGATTGAATTGAACATATGAGTGACTAACAGTTTTACTGTAAAGTGTTAATATGGAGAATATGTTGGAAATCATATGTTTTTGCAACTATCTGGACACATGTTGACAATTTTAGGTCTATCTAAGTCTATGGGAAGAGGCATATGACATTTCACAATCCTTGTAGGAGAGATGTGAAGGGAAGACCTGAGCTATTCTTCCTCCTTCTTGTGTTACCCCAATAGGAAAACGGACTTATAACTGGAGAAGAGAAGCTAGGTGTCAGCAGAGACATGATGGAGTGGACATTTCTTTCAGTCCTTTACCAGGAAGTCCTCTCAAACTGAGGAGGAAAATGCTAAGGGAGAGACACAGTAGTCTTGAAGCCCATGGCATTCTTGAAGACCCACCTCACAGCCCTAATTACCAAACCCCAAAGCTCTCTTCAGCTCAGCAGGTGTCCTTTAATTTTCAGCAACTCTTCCCCACAGCAGAACCACCGATTTTTCTTTTCCCTCGTAATTTGAACTCCTCCCCCTAATTTATTTGAAGATGAAGATATTACCTTCTTTCACTACCAGTGAAATTACAATGACTTGAGAAGAGAAAATGATCTGTGTGAAGCCAGGGCAGAAGTAGAATTTGTGGGCCCTTGAATAAACCATTAGTCTTATACTTGAAGCAGGATAAATAAATGCCAAACCCAAGGCAGAAACTAGAAACATGGAGGAAAAGAGGCATAAATGCCTCACATTAGATAATTACATTCCAAGAAATCTTTCTTGCAACTTTGCTACAATAACCAACTTCCTCTGACTCCAAATTTACTCCTTAGGTACACTTGGCTTAGATATTCCTTTGACTATCCAATCATACCACTGTATACTACAATTTACACATGCATACACGCTCACCTAAAGAGTTTTTTTTTTTTTTTAATCGAGTCTGGGACCTGGTTTCCCTCCATTAAATAACTGATGAAAAATTTAGTAAATCTACAGAGAGAGTTTAGTAAGTGTAAGAAGACTTTGCTCACTGTGTGTGATATTCCAATAGATTCATGTGTTCTACACACAGGGATCTCTTGGATATAAGGGAAGCATTTCTCAGATGTCTGGGTGTGTTTCTGGTCACTATCCAGGTTCCTGGCTCAGCTTCCCAGGTCTCTATGAATAAGCAGAGGGCATCCACATCCAGACCAGGCTCCTGGGGTTCAGACCATAGGGGCTGGGCATCCCTGGTAGACCTCACATTGGGCACTGAGACTCCTGAAAAACTTGTGCTGTTAATTTTGCAGTTCTCTATCTTGACTGCTTCTCAGACTGACCACCAGTTGGTGAGTTTTCATCAGCCTTCTGCCTCGTCTCCTCTGACCCAAGCAGCAGCAGGGACTCACTTGCATGCACTGGTCTTGTAGGCAGTAACTTTTAAGCCACATCCTCTGTCCACCAGGCTAAACTTGCCTGCCTGAGAGGCATACTCCTTCCACCCTCTGTCGTACATCTGTGAGCTACCAACTCTGGCCCTAGTGTGACACTGCCAGAATGTTGTGTACCTCATCTATTTAGAGTGGGAAACCCATCAGGCAAACTGTAGAGGCCCCGTATCCTCACTCCCTTTCTGCTCAGTTTTTTCACCTATATTATCTCAACTTCACTCTACTAACCAGAGTACCAAGGAAAGGTAGGCTAGCAATTATGTCCATGATGACTATAGAGAAGTGGAGAGGAGATGACTTATGATCTTCTTTGTGCTGGATTCTCTACTGAAGGCATCTGATGGCTTCTGATTTCCCTGGTCTGAGAAGAAAGTCCCTATCCACCTCTCCCTCCTTACTCTACCTCAGGCTGAGGGGCTCAGGCAACCTTTCATGTTGCATATGGCATAGGTATGTCTGCCTCACTCCAGAAGGGACCAGCCAATAGCCACCTACTTCTAAGGTCTAGTGCCCACAGACCTGGTGTTCATAAATTTAAGTTCTGGATTTAGGTCTCCTTTCCTGTAGCCAGGTGATCAGTGACAGGCGAAAATCAAGATCCCAGACTTCCGGAGTAACCTCATCAAGATTGAGGTAACAGCTCACATAGCTAGTGCATAGACAGATGCAGGTTACATGGAGTCTGAATCTTGTACACATTTGGAGGCTCCCTTTGGGACTGCTGGGAAGCATGAAACATGGGATTTCACTCACCGTTGTGCTCACTATGTGTGATATTCCTATAGATTCATGTCTTCTACACACAGGCATTTTTGATCATTCTGAATTCTTGATTCCCATAAAAAATGAATACATAGTCATCATAGCATATGCTGCATTACTGAATATATATTTATGAGAGTCTCCAACACATCTTTACACGTCTGAGGAGTGGAAGAATTTCCCACAGATTAGTTTCTTGTTCCCCACATTTCAAACCTCATTTCTCTTCCACCTCTGGCACCGGGTGTGGTACGGCTCCTTAGTGCTCCATGCCAGAAGTGGCACAGTGGTAAAGTTATTTCTGGTGGGGGGAGGGGTATTTGGAGAAAAAAAAGGAAGAGGATTGCCGGGGAGTATACAGGGAGGGTTAGGAGAAATTCTGGAGATACGGTCCACTCAATGGAGGCACATATAACCAAGCTGAGAAACGACATAGTACACAACAGAATCGGGAGATGTGAAACCCAGACATCAATCTTCACCTGGGCATAGAGGAAATACTCAGATTTCCAAGCAGGTTCTAGGTTCAGAGGAGAGCGCGCTTGGTTGGAGGCGCTGGTCTTGCAGGATGGGGTGGGGGCGTTAATACAAACTTCTGGTCCAGCAGAGGTAGAAACAGACCAGATGTAAGTAGCAGCTCAAAGGCAGCGGACTTGAGGGATGAAGACGTGAGGCCCAGAGGGTGGTGACTGGCAGAGAAAACAGCTGCCGGACACCAAGGCCACCTCGGGTTAAAGGGAACAAGTTGTACCCAAAAAAAACACGGTGAAAATAGGAAGAATAAGAATATCACCTGGAGTGTTCTCCTAGGACCCTCCCCAAGAACCTGGATGCTTTAACAATCCCTCCAGAGCAGGGACACTCAGAATACATACATAGAGCAGGGACACTCAGAATACATACATATCCCACAAAGTAAAGTGTCTGAAGGCCTGGGCAGACCCTTCTTCCTCCCCTTCTCTCTCCTCCGTCGGCCGGCCCGGAGGAGGGTCAGGGATGAGAACTACTCTCACTGCTGTCCCCCACCTCACCCCAACGAGAGAGGAATCTAGAGGTCTGTATCCCTCCTTCACCACCCCGCCCGAGCGCCTTCTGGAAAACACAACCACCGTCCCAAGTCTCACCCAGCAACTGCATCCAAGCGCTTTCTCCAAGTGTTCGCGGAGCCGCCGGAACTCTTCCAGGCAGGCGTTCCCGGACTCTGTACAGTAGGCACCCCGCCCTTGGGGTTTTGAGCCGCAGTGTCTGCCTCTGTCCAAGTATCCAGCCTCAGGTGCAGACCTTTCAGGGCCGGCGGCGGGAGGCGCAGACAGGGAGGACCCCCTCAGGCGTACTGCAGCCCGGGCTGCCGCGCCAGAGAGTTTGCATCCTTGGGAACCGCGGACGTGCCTGGGCGCTCCAACTCCGCGCGCCTCAGACGCTGAGGCTATGATTGGCCTGGCTGAACGTCAATCAGGGCTCGGCGCCGTGGAGGCGGGACGAACGCCGCGGGCCGAGCCTGCTTAACTCCCTGCCGAGTTATTCTCTGCCACTTCTAAGGTAGGCAAACGCCTCCGAGTCCCTTAGGGGGCTCCCCGCGGCGGCCTGAGATGCTCCCCGCGGCGGCCTGAGATGCTCCGCGCCAGGTCGTCGCGCCCTTGCGCTGGCTGAAGTAGGAATTGGCTCTGGAGAGTCTGCGTTGTTCCTGGTCCCAGGGCCGTGATCCGGATACTGCGCTTCCGGCTCCTCCAGTCGCAGCCCGCAGGCTCCGTCTTCTCCTGCGTGGCGCTGGAGAAACACCCGAAAGAGAGAGTCCTAGAATGTCTGCTGTGGCCCTGCGACCTGACTGCCACCTTCCAGGACTCTAGCCCTGGCTCCTTCTAACCTTCCCGCCCCTCAGTGCCCCAGGGAGGCTGCTGTGCCAACAATTATTCATCAGCCGGAAGAAAAGGAGGTGCCAGTGTTAGGCGCAGAAGAGGGTTGGACCAGAAAAGCTGGAGAGGGGCAAGAAAGGAAAGAGGGGGAAGAGGGAAGGCGGAAAAAGTGGGGAGGGGTAACAGCTCGAGCTTTTCCTCTAGGGTAGTTTGTCTTCTCTCGGTCTCGCCTCCTCTGCTTCTTGCCTCAGTTCCCCACTCCCACCCATGCACCTCTGCGGCAGGCGTGTGAAAGAAGTGGGGGGGGGAGGCTTTTGGTCGGGATATCTGGTCCTCCAGACCCCACAGCCTTGGCTGAGAACTTACTTAAGCCCACTCCAACTGACTTGATAAATAAGAATCTTGACCAGTCCATTGGTAGGTAGAAATGAGGGACATCATCTGTCCCTGAACAGAATAACCCGAAATCGCAGGTCCCGTGGATGTGGGAATCCACAGCACTGACTGCGCTCCTAAGGCTCGTAAGTCCACTTCTGAACCTCATCTAAGACCCTGAAAGCCAGACTAGGGTACATTTTATTATTATTATTACTATTTCTTATTTGAGACAGGGTCTCCCTCTGTCGCCCAGGCTGGAGTGCAGTCGTGCGATCTCGGCTCACTGCAACCTCCGCCTCCCGGGTTCAAGCGGTTTTCGTGCCTCGGCCTCCCGAGGAGCTGGATCTACAGGTGCACACCACCACACCTGGATAATTTCTGTATTTTTAGTAGAGACGGGGTTTCACCATGTTTGCATAGCTTGTCTCGAACTGTTGACCTCAAGTTATCCTCCCGCCTCTGCCTCCTAAAGTGCTGGGATTACAGGCCTGAGCCTCCTCGCCCGTCTTATATGTTGGATCTTTTCCCAGACCTCCTCCTCAGATGTGGACCGTACAGATGATGCTCCATCGGTTACTCTGATCCTGGCTTTGGGACTGCCAGATAAAACTGGGAGAAACCCTACATTTACTCTTACTGTAACGTATTGGCTTGAAACTGCAGGTCAGAATCCATTTATGTTGAGATCAAAAGACTTTTTTTTCCCAAGTAGAATGAAATAGAATAAAATAGAATTGAAAATACTTGCCTGCATCACAGGTAAGGAGAGTAACTATAGTTTCATGAAACTTTTGTTTCAGTTAAATATGTTTTTGCATGTGTTCATGTGTACTGGGAGGAGATATATATTCCATGTATATATGTAGAGAGGTGGAAATCAACAACAAAACTCCATAATTGTTCTTATTTTCTAATAGTTCTTGATTTTGAGTAAAAATAATTAAGAACAAAACGTTGAGCCAGCTAAAGAAAGATCAGAGTCAAGCAGGCTCTCATTGGGGCCTAAATAGAGGTTCATCTTATTTGGCCTTTTTTTTTTTTTTTTTTTTTTCCATCTCGTGGGCTCCTTTTAAGGCCCAGCAAGGAATTACCCTCCCCCGACTCTCTCTGCTTGGTTCAGCCATTCAGCCGTCTCTCAGGCTCTTTGATTAATAAAATGTCCAGTAGAGCTATTTTATCCTATGCATGTATGGGAAGAGAGCAATGCCAGTGATTTTTTTCTGATAGAAAATTCACAAATCACGTTATCTTTTGAAGCTTGAGATTTTAAACTCAAACATTATCACCAGAGAACTAAATTATTAAGAAAGATGAGTGGTCAAAAGTATAGATGTTTTACAGGTTAGGGGTCATTTTGTCAGGTCCTGTCCAAAATATCTGAAGTCTAGGGGTTTGAAAAATTGTTAGAAATAACCATTTATGACAACAGTTTTCATTTATTGTTCTCCCCAGCTTCAGGAGAAGGCGAGAACATTTTTTTCCTTCTTGCTGAGAATTTTTTCACCAGGGTTTCAAGGCTAAGAACTGAAATTCCAGCATTGACATTGAATTAAAAAGAAGCAAGCCCTTTTAGGAAGTCAAATTTTATTATATGAGATGGAATATAATATTGAGATTACTTATTACTTAGGCATGGTATGGGGGGGCTTTTAACAACAGATCAAAAAAAAGTTGAAAGGATAGGAGTGAAATAAAGCAAACTTTCATTATTCAGAGATGATACAATTGTCTACAGAGAAAAATAATCTAAAACATAAGAATTAAGAGTTTGGCACAGTTGGCTAAATATATAAAATATTGCATTTTCTATAAAAACAAAGAAGTGGAAATGTGATTAACTGGTTAATAAAATATAACAAATTTACAGTACAGTTGACCTTTGAACAACATGGGCTTGAACTGTGCAGGTCCACTTATATATGATTTTCTTCTGCCTCTGCCACCCTTGAGACAGCAAGACCAACTCCCCTCCTCCCCTTCCTCCTCCTCAGCATATTCACCATGAAGACATGAGGATGAAGACCTTTATGATGCTCCACTTCCACTTAATGAATAGTAAGTATATTTTCTCTTCTTTATGATTTTTTAAATAACATTTTCTTTACTTTTCTGAGACAAGGTCTTGCTCTGTTGCCCAGGCTGGAGTGCAGTGGTGTGATCATGGCTCACTGTGACTTCAACCTCCTGGGCTCAAGCGATTCTCCACCTCAGCCTCCCAAGTAGCTGGGACTACAGGTGCATGCCACCCTTCCTGGTTAAATTTTTAATTTTTTGTAGAGATGGGGTCTCGCTATGTTGCTGAGGCTGTTCTCAAACTCCTTGTCTCAAGCAGTTCTCCCGCCTCAGCCTCCCAAAGTGCTGGAATTACAACCATGGGCCATTGCACCTGGCCAACATTTTCTTTTCTGTGGCTTACTTTATTGTAAGAGTACAGTATATAACACATACAAATATAAAATATATGTTGAATAACTATGTTATTGGTAAGACTTCTGATCAACAGTAGGCTCTTAGTAAAGTTTTGGAGGAGTCAAAAATTATGTGCAGATTTTTTACTGCACAGGTGGTCAGCACTGCTAGCCCTCGCATTGTTGAACGGTCCACTGTAATCAGGAATAAATTCTCAAAAAGGAAAGGCATGCAAGATCTTAGTGGGGAAAATTAAAATCATTAAAAGAAGTTGAAGAAGTACTGCACAGATGGAGAGATATATTCATGGTTAGAAAGCATCAATATCATAAAAATGCCAGTTTTCCCCAATGTGATCTATAGTTTCATGCTGTTTCTAGAAAAATTTCAACAAAATGTTTTATAGAATTGGGCACAATGATATTAAAATGAAACGAAGGAACACAAGTTCAAGAAGAGCCAAAATACCATTGAAAATAAAGAGGAAGTTGGGGAATTTTCTGACTACATGAGAAGATATATACACCACTGGATTTAAGACCATGTGCTATTATTGGTGAGAGGGGAAGTAGACGACTGGGCCAGTAGAATAGAATGGAAAGAGCGTCAGGACCCCTTGTATATGAAGAATGGTCATTAAAGACCAGTGGGTAAAGGACGTATAATTCAGTAAGTTTGAATTTATGACACTGGATTAATGGATATATATACATCGTAATAAATTCCAGATGAACTAAGGACCAACATATTGAAGGCAAAACTGTAAAACTTTTAAATGAAAATGTGAAAGAAATATTTGTATGACTTCAAAGTAGAAAAATATTTATGAAAAAGATACACATTTTAAAAACAAAAATGTATAAGAAAAGATGAATAAATTTGACCACATTAAAATTAGAAACTTTTATCAAAATATACTCTAAAGAAAAAAAAAGCCACAAACTAAACTTATATCACACATAATTTACATAGGATCAGTATCCAGAACATCTAAGAATAGCCCCAGAAGAAAATGATCAAAAGATGTGAAAGGGCAGTTCACAAAAAGGGATATATAAATGACCAATAAATATACAAAAGTGAAGCTCACTCACAATAGTTATCAGAGAATTGTGAATTAGAACAGTCCTTGAAATAACATTTTAAAATCACTAAATAGACAAACATTGAAAAGTCTAACATTATCAAAAATCGATGAGGATATAGGGTGAGGGAAACTCATACTCTGATGGTAGACTTCCAACTGAAATAATCTGCTTGGAAAAAAAATTAGCATTTTGTAAAGTTGAAGCTGAGTATATCCTAAAGCACAGCAGCTCTACCCTTAAGTATATATGCACCTTAGGGAAATTATTGAATAAGGCACCAAGAGCAATGTGCAGGAAGAGTCACGAGAGCATTCTTTGTAATTGGAAAAAGCTGGAAACAACTCAGTGTCCATTTGCAGGTAAACTGATGCACAGATTTTGGCATAATAATGTGGAATTCTATGCAACATCAAGATCAGTGGAATACAGATACAGTAATAAACTTGCATAATTCTTAAAATCATGTTGAATGAAGAAAACAAGTAACAGAAAAATACATTGTGATATTAATTATGATGTTAATTTGTTGTCAGAAACAAAGACAATATTTACTATGATGAAAGCAAGATAATGATCAACTCCAAATTTGGAATAATAGTTGCATTTTGCAGAGAGGAAGGGAGATTCTAAGGGAAGACAAACACAGGAAACTTTAATGTTAAGGGTAGATATATATGCATTTGTAATGCCCATTTATATCACTGCATTAAATCTAAATTTTTCTGCTTCTCAGTGAAGATGGTGTGTGTGTGTGTGTGTGTATTTGCTGTTCAAAAAGTGCTGGTGGCAATGGCTTATACCTGTAGTCCCAGCACTTTGGGATGCCAAGGAGGGAGGATCACTTGAGCCCAGGAGTTTGAGATCAGCCTGGGTAACATAGCGAGACCCTATCTCTACAAAAATAAAAAAATTAGCTGGGCGTGGTTGTGCTTGCCTGTAGTCCTACCTACTCAGGAAACAGGTGCAAGGATTGCTTGAGCCTGGAAGATTAGGTTGCAGTAAGCCATAGTCGCACCACTGCACTCCAGCCTGAGCGGCAGAGTGAGACCCTGTCTCAAAACAAAAACAAAAACAAAAAGCACCTAAAATCAGATGATACCGAGTGATTAAAATAAACCAATGGACAATGATAAACTCAGGCAACTGCTAACAAAAATTAATTATGGATAGAAATACCGTCTTACTCCATTTTGTGCTGCTATAACAGAATATCCAACTGGATAATTTACAAAGAACAGATTGATTTATTACAGTCCTAGAGGCTAGGAAGTCCAAGGATGAGAGGACTGCATCTTGCAAAAATCTTCTGGCTGCCTCATACTATGGTGGGAGGCAAAAGGGATAAAAAGAGAGAGTGGAGAGAGGAAAAGAGAAAAAGAGCGTGCCCAAGTGCAACAGGTTGAATTCACAGGCTTTTAGCCTTTTTGTATTGGCACTAATTCATTTATGAGGATGCAGTCCTTGTGACCTAAACACCTGTCATCATTAAGCCTCAGCTACCAACACTGTTGCTTTGAATATTACATTTCCAACATATGCTTTTTTGGGGACACATTCCAAGTGCTGGGATTACCAGGCTTGAGCCACCGCGCCCGCCCCGCAGATAATGATCTTAAGTTGTCAAATATTTATAAAATTACGTACTCAAAAATAGTGAATACATATTTTTCTAAACATAACGCATTAAACCACAAAGTAAATAGAAATTAGAAACTACACGGGCTATATTCCTCTCCACCCAGTATAAAATACATACATAAAAGAAACAAAACAAAATGAAAATAAAAGAAAACAACCTCACCAAAACAATACTAACAAGAAAGCCTCCACTTGGAAACTTAAAAACATCCTCACTAATTTTGGTTGAAAAGGAAGTCAAAATTGCAGTTCAAGGGAGTTTGTTTTTGCTAGGAATATGGAGAGAATTCAGAAATTCATTTCTCTGTATAGTACAGCAAAGAGGAATAAAAAACCACACAAGAACTTCCATTTTTAGTGAAACTAGGGAAACAGAAAGTATGCTTACATCCCAAATTGCATGCCATTTGTGCTTAAAGCAACGGAGAGCAGCAGAACTGGGCACAGGAAGCCAAATGTTGCTGTGGCAACAGATCAAAGTGTGGAGGAAAACTAGTTTGTGGCGGGATCTCGGAAAGGGCCCGAAAATATTCTCTCTCTAAGAGTGAAGCCAGCTAGGTTGGAGCTGTTGGCAGTTGGCCTGAGCTACAGTGAGGCCCCAATGCTGGGGGAGGCAGAAGAAGGCCCACATGTTGGGGGAGCAGACCATTGTTTTGGAAGTTCCAGGTGGCAGATAACAAAGGATCCCTCTGGAATGCAGGGGGCACACTTGG